GCAATGAACAAAGCAAGGTAGGATGGCACACTATAAGCATTGTGCTATTGTACTTGAGGTTGGGCAAGGGGCTCTTATTCAGAAATTACCCTCTTTCTCTACGACTTGTTTATGATTGTTCAATTCTCTTGCTTCTATACGTCTATTTTTCTTCTGGTTGTTGTGCCCCATAGGCTTATAATCCATTCGTACGAGACACGAGCCAAACTAGGCATGGGTTATATAGGAATCGGAAACAAGGTCCTTTCTTTCATCGAAAGAATGCTTTGGAAACTCAATCTGCAGAACAATGGCTGTAAACGAAACAACTCATATATAGCTAGGGACATGAGCTGCATATAGGCATGGCCCTTGTTTGACAATGGTGACATAACAAATAGATTATGGTTGACATCTTAGAGATGTAAGGTTGAGTTTGTCATAGACATGGGCACATAAGTCTCCATCTCTGGCCATAGATCGCCAATGAGATGGATTATTGATGAGGTTTAACTTATGTGATTGTATACCATGAGGGCGTTTACCTTCTGTATAGACAATTACTTACAATCATCTGATGTGAAATCTGATAGCTTTGGTGTATCACAAAATTTGAGAAAATTTCCTTTGAACTTTTAGCTTGGTCAATAAAATAAATGTAGCCACCCAATTTTACATCCAATGGTCATAATTAATTATGACCACTTTATACCAAAAGTAATTGGTCTCACTATATATTTTCCCTTAACTTATTGCATATTGACATAAACATGTGTATCATCATGATCATAACAAGCCATCAAATGTTAGTCGCCTTTTCATATGATTAACATAACTTGTCCTTAGCGCGATAATCTGCTGGATCTAACCACCAAGACTTTAGAGAATTGCCAATGATTTTAATGAATATCAAGCTGTTAATTGACGTTATCTTGTGAAATTCATCAAACTGCAAGCTACTCATCTGACAAAGGATGCCAATAGAGTTACACAAACTCCTTTAGGCGAGCGAGGATTAAAATCGTGCCCAGTTTATCAGACTTTGTAAATGATGATGATTATTTCATCAAACAATGCTCACTTTGTAGTGACATATTTGATCTACCAGAGTCATCGCATTGAGTTTTCTCATCGATTGATGTTTTAATTTCACTATGATGGATATTACATCAGATGATGCATTCGGATTAGTTAAAACTATTGTGATTCATAACAATATATAAAAGAAAATTGTTTCATGCGAGCTGGACTACATTTCTACATATGCGGTTCAGAAAGTATAAAGCATCCATGTTAAATATTGATGCAGGTAGGCGTCCCATCTAAAAACAATGGAAACTAATGATCCAAATATTTTTTTTACTAGAATTATTATTTTTAGTTTTTTAAATTTATTTATTTTGTCATATTCATGATCTCCATGTCAGAGATTACATGTCCTTAAAAATTAAATCTTAAAATCCATCTCAAAAATATATTTATTAAGAGGCCCGCATTTATACATATGCGGGCTTGGTCGCATAAAAACCGGGTCCATATATAAAAGTCGTTTGCGATTCAGTAGAATAATTTTAAGTAAGTTATGAATATTTAGGTCGATCTTACAGGAATACTAAATCAACCTAAACACCTAACTCTCCCCTAAATTCCCCCAAACCCCTAGGTTAGGATCCTCTCACCCCAATTACCCACTGAGACATAGAACCTCAAAAACATCATAATATTTTATCGTTTAGAGAGAAAGCAAGAGCAAAACATTGGAAATCAAAATAAACTTCTTTGATATATTACTTCGAGTAATGGTCTAATGGGCCCGTACTGCACTCAATGGCATGGGGCCTCTAAGGATGACCTTTGGATCTCAATCCAAATCTCAAGATAGGGGCTACCTGGGTAACTTATTTCAATGCAGGTTATCGGTGGACCAATAAAAAAACCTTGTCAAATAGAGAAGTGTTGTGTGAGTAGATAGGCTCTTGAGCCCACACACAAACTTACAGAGATTCTCAAACTCCACCAAGAATGTCTACATAACCCATCTTTGAATAGAAATAACTTAGGGAATATACTACCTCTTTAACCTACAAATGATAAGTCACTTCATTCATACCTTCGAATAGTCTCTTCCGGATCAACGAGGGATCTTCAAATAAATATTCTATATCTTTAAGAATAATTGGAAAATAGAAAGACCGCCTTGAGTTGAGTTCCAAACCCAACATTAAAATCTTTCGACCTTCCACCTGAATCCATCTACAATGATTGGATCTTCTTCACCAAGGGTCAATACAACATCACCACGTGGCTCTGATACCATGTGGAAAAAGACGGGCGCTACAATACCGGAATATTATGCTTCTCAATTAGTATAAAAACTGTTGGGTTTATATGGCCTTTAAAGGCTTTATGAGATCTTGTATGAGCATTTTATATAGTGAAACATAAACTAAGTGGGAGTGTGGTCCTTTTGTGGACTATACTAGGCAAATGTTATTTGCTGATACTCGGACTAGGCTCGACGAGCTAGGGCAGCTGAGGTTTGAAAAATTCAATATACCTGGGCATATAGAACTACCGATAAGAGTTAGTGGGTTATCCCTTGATGAGGCTGGAGTATGCCCAGATGATAGCCAAGGGACTGTGTGACCCTTGCGTGTGATGAATAGCCTTTAGAGATATGGCTAAAACATCATCGTTATATCATCACACGGTATGTACGTAGCTAGTCGTTTTGAGATTCGCCAATGAGGGTGGAGCGTGTACATGTGCGAGAGCCATAGAGTCATGGTTGCATCATGGTCTGGAGGACCATGATTTTTTTGTCTCTAGGGGAGAACCTGAAATCCATAAATTGGGATTACGTCCCTTAGTCTATTGAATGATTTTGGTGGTTCAATCATGAGCCCCTGTAGTAGACTGTGGGTCATGGGAACTGCTGGGTCAGTTTGAAAAACTCAACAGATCGTGATTCACAATTGAAGATGGAGTGCTCCCATATATTGATAATTTCCTAGATCGAACAGATTCGATTCCCATCAAAATTAATTAAATTTAATTAATTTTATGCTATGTAATTTTTAGAATGTTTATTTGAATTTTTGTGAATCTTATGATATTTTTATTTTTGTCATTTGGATTTATAAATTAAGAGAAGTTAATTTTTCAATATTTTAAATAAAATATAAGATTTAAAAATTCTAAATATGAAATAAAATATTTTTTAAAAATATATGAGACCTCTCTAAAATATAGGGCCCAAAATTTAAATACATGTATATTAGGGTGGCACACCCTACCCATTCACATATTCTTATTGAGAAGAATGTTTATCCTTGTTGGCTTATCTTTTGGGTATAGCCATGATAATGTTGAATATTTGAGATATTTACTAAACCTTTGAATCAAGATTGGTTGATCCAATAATTAAAAATTGGATAGATTAAAATATAAGCTTTCTTTATTTAATAACAACCTTGATTCAATAATTAAGGATTTAATATATTAAAATATAAACTTTCTTTATTTGATGGGAATAGATTTAGGAAGTGGAGGATAATGCTCTAGCTCATCTCTTGAATTTGGATGGTGGATCAAAAAGATTGATGACTTAAATCTCTTACCCCAGGTTTCTTTAGATCGACCGTTGAGATTTGACCTTATGAATTGATGTAAAATCCGTGACATAAAAAATCTAAAAAAAAATGTATCCTCATGAGATACGTATTCTCTTCTCTCTCTTTAACAATTCTCTCTCCCTACCCAAAATTTAGCTCACTTCTAAAGGGGAGGTACGTCCCAATTTTTTATCTCTATCTCTAAGTTGTACTATTTTTTGGAACGCACGTCCCAATTTTTTTTCTCTCTCTCTGAGTTGCACCATATCTCTTTCTCCAAGTTGTACCATGTTTTGGTGGCCACACTACCTCTGCTCTTTGTGGGTGACAAAGACGTGAAACTTGTTGCTAGTAGGTCTCTCCCTCCCTCTTCATATTCATCTCTCATCTCTCTAAAATCAAGCTAAGAGGCTTGATCAAGATTAAGCCATTGAGTAGATTTTTGCCATAGTAGGGAAATTAACATACCGATCATAGATCCTGAACACCATCGGAAAGAGAAGACTCGGCGTGAAGTGTATTAAGTCTAGTTAGGGTAATCTTCCGCAATTTTACCTTTTTAAATATTTACTTATCTTCCCATAAAGCAATAACGTCTAGGTTTATTTTTTAAATAAAGAATTGTATTTTTTTAAATATTTACTTCTCTTCCCATAAAGTAAGAAAGTCTAGTTTTATTTATTGAATAAAGGATTGTATTTGAAGAGGTAGCAATTGAAAACCGATCTTGTTTTTATTTTATTTATTTTAAGAATGGTTTGATTATAATTGGACATTGTAAGTGATCTTGTCACTGTAGGGGTAACAAATTTTTTTAAGAAATATATATACCCGGCTTTATTATAAAGTCCTTTAAAAAACGGGTGTCACAATACTAGAATATTCTGTTTCTCAATTAGTGTAACAATGTGACACTAGTCGAAGACTCACAACGAAATAGGAAAAAGAAGAACAACCAAGATGGAGTGGAAGAAAAACTTGAATTCAAAGATAGAAAATGAGGTAAACAAAAGCTTTATAATCCTGACACCTAACATCAGTCTTAAAACCTGTCACACAAATTTTCGTACAATATGGTGTACACAAAGACATTACAATCTTAATACCTAAAATTAATATGGTGAACACGAAGACATTACAATCTTGATACCTAAAATTAACTTATTTTATTTTTCCACAGTACCTCTCTTTAAACAGAGACACTTACAACCTATGTGCTACAATAACTATCCACTTACAACAATAGCTACTAACATGTACTCTAAATTTTTATTAGGTAAAATTACAAATACAAGCTGCATCACCCCAAATAAAATTTTAAAAAACCTATCATGATTCATAATAAAACACAATTAAAAAAAAAGAAAAAAAAGAGGGTTTGAAGGGGATTCCCCTTCTCAAACTGGCGAGAGATAGAAAGTAGAAAACTAGAAATTACTTCTCGGACGTGTAATTTCTCTGTTCTCTCTAAATTCGTCTCTCTTTTCTCCCATTACTTTTCTTGTTATTTCCCCAATCCTCGCTTTCTCTGCCCAACTAATGATCTCTGACCTCCTCTTCCCAACCAATTTTTTTCAACGCCTAAAACACTTTCTTTCTCGCACCAGAAGCAACAGGAGAGAGCATCTTCATTGTCATCAGCAACTATTTGTCTAGTTAACAATTTCTTTTTCTTTGGGTATGTCAATTCCTCAAGGAGTTGGGTTTTCTATAGATTCTATCTTTTTTGGATTAAACCCCATAATATTCTCCCTCACACACACACTCACACACAGAGGCACTTGTATCAGGGCCTTCAAAACTCCCAAATTTCACTATTAATTTGCAGAGTTTTAAATCTTTATTCTTTGCTGTTATCGCTCAGTCCTTCCTTTGTTTTTATAATCCTCCATGTCTCCATTGTTATTACTCGTTGACCTTGCACTATGCGAACTCCTTTTCCATATTGTCTCTCTTTTTATCATTTTTCTTTGTGTTTTCATGGAGGCTAATGATTTTTACGGTTATTGGTTCTGTGCTTTTGTTTCTGGTGCCAGGGGTTTACTTGAATTGAGTTGAGCAAGTGTTCCTGGCGGATAAGGCTCTCATGGAAAGCCTGGGTGGAATTTTGATGATTTGATTTCAGAGCTTGATACCTCTATTATCTAGAGTCATCCCTTTGAAGAGTTCATACCCAAGGTATGTGTATGTTGATGAATTCTTTCATGGAGGTCTATGATTGCTAGCTTGATTGATGTTTGATATTTCAACTGAAAGTTGCTAACCGGAAACAAAAGAAAAGGATATCTGGATTTAGAAACAAAAGTTGCCAGTTCATTTGAAATTTCTAGAAATTATATATTTGTTCTTTAGACCTTAAAACCTTTGTTAGTGGTTTATGTACATCTATATGCATTTGTTATTTCCAAACCTCTTTATATTGGCCTTCTTGTTAGTGTATTTTTCTTGTTAAAGCTAAGAACTTCGATAAATTAATTCACATAATTTTGAACACATATTATTGCTGTGAGTAGATATCAAGTGAAAACAATTCAATATTGGTTACTGGTATCAAACTGGTTTAGATTTAGGAAGTTCTTATGCTTACTGCTGTTATATTTTGGTTATTGACTTGGAATTGTGATTCCTTCGATGATAATGAAGAACACCCATGTTGATTTTCATTTTTGTAATCTCAATTCATTTTCAATCTTTTGTTCTTAGGAGATGTAAGTAAGAGCATGCCAAGAGACCCAAGTACATGAGGACATGAGTATTGTTCTGCGAGAATGTCAATAAGAGTCATGAAAGTCACATACAAATAATGCAGATACCACATTGAAATTCCTTGATCGTGAACAGATACATGGGACATATTGCCGTAAGATGTCAACGACCTTGCTAAGATGGTGTAGTTATGTGTAATGAATGAGTCTATTTGTTGTGTGGCATATGAGCTTGAATATAGATTAATAATTCCACTGAGTCCAAAGATTTATCATAGATTCCCCAGGTAATTACTCGTCCCGTGTTTGAATGTAAATTCATACATTAGAATTTTTGAGAACTTTTACATGTTTACTTGAATGTTCTTTGAAGATGTTAAATAAATAGGGAACCTAGTACAACTGTTCGAATATAGAGACAAAGGAGCTCCAAATGCCATTCACTATCTCATAAGAAGTAAGAGTTAGTAAAAAGCTATCTAACTTGCAGTTTCCTCAGTGTTTAAAAAACTTGCCCGAGTCAACTCGGACATGGCCTCGGCACCGTAATGAGGCGAGTTTATGAAACAAACCAGACTTCTTAAATTCACTTAAAATTTTTTCGTTAATAAATCACTAGTAAATTATTTACAAATATGTTTCTATATGATTTTTATGTTTTTTATGGTGATTTGTGAGTTTTTCTCTACTTATATTCTGTAATTTTCTATTTTTCCCTCTTTTGGATATTTTTAAATTGTTTCAAGCCTTATATGATTTTTTCTTATTTTAATCCATTTTCTACATACTATTTTCCATCTTTTGTATATTTTTAGTGATGTTTATTACTCATTTTGCTTTTCAATGTTATATAATTAGTTTTAACAAATTTTTGTATTCTTTAGGCCCTTTTGGGCTCATGCCGAACTTAGTCTAGTCCACTCAGACTTGCCGCTCCACTCGAGCAAGGGCCAGGGGCCAAGTCCTGAGCCCAAGCCGAGTTTTTTGAGTCTCCTTGATTTTTTTCTTAGCAAACATTTTGTAATTTTCTAGGAAGTATCCTTTACTGCCATTTCGTTGTTCCACGCTTTTTTTGGGTTCCTTGGTATGCTTGTGCATTTAAAGGAGCCGACCGCAAATAGTTGAGATAAGGCTCAGATGATGATGACGACGATGATGCTTGTGCATTTAAGGCTTTCATAATCTTGTTATGAAGTATATTGTTCCATTAAGATATTTTCTTAATATTGTTAAAAGGAATGAAACCCTTTGAAAAAGGGAAATATTGTTAAAGGTCAAACCCTTTAAAAAATTATTTAAGGGCTCAAAAAACATTTGAGGGCATACTTTTTATTTTTCATTTCACTTATATACCTTCTCAAAAATAATTTTAAAAATACCCAAATTGCCTCTATCCCGTATTTGGAATGAGGAATAATGAGGGGTATTTCAGAAATTTGACTCCAAGAAGCCTCACTCTAATGACGAAAATATCCAAAGTTGTTTTGCATTAAATAACGAACATATTATTTTGTATTAGTAATACAGAACAACTCGGGTTCTTGTGTAATTTGATACATACAAAGTATAGAATGACAAAAGTACCCCTAGTTGTTCTGCATTACTAATACTAAGCAATGTGTTTTTTATTTGTAATATGGAGCAACTAGGGGTATTTTCATCATTCGGTTGAGGCCTCTTCGATGTCAAATCTCAAAATACCCATAATTATTCTATATTCCAAATACCAAATAAGGGTAATTTAGATATTTTAATTTTTTGAGGAGATAGAAATGAAAAATAAAAAAATATACCCTCAAATGTTAATATTGATAATATAACACTTTTAATGATTTTGCAAGGGGGGCTAATGATATTTCCCCTTATAAAAACCTAGTCTTTTTAACAACTGTATCCCAAGGTTTACTGCACTAGTTTGCTGCTCTCCCCTTCTCCTCCACAGTACAAACTAGTTCCCCTTTTCTTTTGTACTGTAATCTTTTCTCTGCTATGGTAATTTGACCATGCTTTCTCTCCACTTTCTTCGAATTTAACCATTGGTGCTTTCTTCCCCCCCCCCCCTCCCCTCTTGCTTAGTTTCCCGCTTGGCACAAATTGGGTTTCTCTTTGTTCTTGCTGTAAGTTTCATGTTGATTTTGAGGTTTTGACAAAGGTGTTGTGTAATCTATTTGTCGCTTGGTTTTCTTCTTATGTCACCTTCTTCTGGTTTCGTTTGTGTAGCTTTTTAGTTTCGTTTGTGTAGCTTTTTACAATGTTGTTTATTTTGTGTTTTTATTGGATGCTTTTTTTGGATAAATATTTTTATTGGATGCTTGCTTTGAGAATTTGGGCTAGGGTTTCCTTTCTTGATTATGGTTTCTTTAAATAGAAAAAAAAGAAGAAAAACACTCTCAACCTCTCTTATGTTTTGTCTCTTTCTACACTATCCAACTCAATGGGATTTGTTCAACACTTCTCTATTTCCATTGTTTCTTCTTTTATTTTATTTTCTTCTACATAATGCCTTTCTTCTCTGCAATCTTCAATGAATTTTCTCTCTAATCAGTTTGTTGTCTAGATAAATTGCTTCGTTTTGAAGGCCTTGCAATTTTTTTATTTTTTATTTCTTTCCACTGGGATTTAAAAGCTGCTCATTAAAGTGTTGGAGGTGGTGTTAAATGCCCAAACAGATGTGTGGCTTCATGAAAAACACTACTGCTTGTTTATTTATGGAATGAATCTGTAACAGTTTTAGGCTGGATAGCCTGAATGAAGCATCGGATGGTCAGCATTTGTTGATAGACGCATTAAAAAATGGTAATTTTATATTTTTAATGGGCCTAATTTTAGATCAATCGGATTTATAAATAAAAAAATAGAAATTACACAGGGCCCATACACATCTCTGATATGTTAAGATTCAATCTAAGCTGACTTATACTCTTCCTTAGGCCGTGTGGCTCACAATCCCTTTTCTCTCGTTAATTTCTTGTTTATTATTTCATTATCAAAGACTTATTTTTCGTACGATGGAGTGTAGGAAGTTACATGTGCTTCTCTAATAATTCTAGGAATAGCCGATTTCCTGAAGGATTTAAGATCCATGGTTTATTGTTTCCCTCATATGCATTATGTAACTCATTTTACATTTATCTTTCCTAATAACTTAATGTTTCTGATAAAAAAAGACCCAATTGTGTAAGCTTTTTGAAGTTAGCTCTGGATTCATTGTCTTTATATTTATTTATATAGAAACCGGTGCTAAACTTGTGATTTCTTCTTTACCATATGTGCTACTAACTAACAATATAGTAGTTCTTTCATCCATTTCATTTTTATCATTCTTCTTGCCACTTCTATTTATTATTGTAACTTATAGTTGAATCGCAGGGAAGAAATTGACTTCACATGAACTTGGTGCTTGATTGCTTGAACTTGATATGGTTCACATGGTTTTGTGTGCATGGATCCAACATTTTTTACTATGGAAATTCCTCTGATTTTTGTTAAGATGTTTATTATGTGATTGCTTCACCCAGTTCATCAATTGTCAATATGTATCGTGAGTTTGCTTGTTGAATGTTGAATTCTAGCAATCTGATCGCCACCAAGATGTTGTGAGACAACCAAAGTAGGAATGGTGCTCTTCAAATTTAGGTATTTCGTGATGGAAGTTTTTCTAGATCCAAACCGAGAACTAGCAGGTGATGAAACTATCATTCTTAGTCAGTTTAATGTGTCCAAAGCTATCAAGGACAGCATCCACTTATATTTTGGTGAGTGCGGCTTAGCTGCAGCAATTGGTTCTTTCCAAGGTAAGTAGTGCTTAGTTGCTATTTTTATTGAATAAGAAGTTTCTGTTTGATAGAAAATGCCTATTTTTTATGCTAGATCCTAGTTGCAATAGATGCCACTAGGATTATGTTTTACTTTTTGGTTTTGAAGGATAAAAAATTGGCCCATAATCTCTTTGGTTATTATTGATTCTTTATTTCTTTATTGATAACAAAGTTTCTTATCTTTGCATGTCTGCAACTAAGGGGAAAATACATTGGAAGTGCAATAACAGTGTTCTGTTTGTATTTTTTGGTTAGTTAAATATGCGAATCCTATTACCAAGGTGTGCATCATCTGAGTCTCATGGCAGGATTACCAGAAGATTTGGTATGCCATCACCATGGTCAGGAATATTGGAAATTGTCCAGTAATTTTCAGCTTGCTAAACATGAGTGGTATGTCCCTTTATTGAGTGACTTCTTGAGGCTAGTGATATATTTTTCTATTATGATGTGATATACAGTCGCCCCTTTGATTTTTACTTCTCTAAACCATTATATCACCCTTGGCTCTACTCTTTGATTTTCAATTGGATAGTCTGCCGTGGATGCCCCAATTTCTTTCAATATTTATATCACAAATAGAATGGCACTTGCTCCTACTCTTAATTTTCAACTGTATGCACTGTTACATTGTAGGCTAGAGGAAAGTGGGCCGATATTCTTTGGTTCTTTCATAGTCACTCCATGTCCTTAAAACTAGTTGAATGTTTTCAAAAAAAAAAATGGTTATCTATGCTTTCATTTCTTAAAATGCAAAGTCCCCTGTGCTTTTAGCTTTTTGTAATGTTACTTGCCAAAATATACAAATCCTGCTCTCTCTTGAAATAGAACTGTATTTCATTTATTCAAAATATACATATACTAACAATTTGTTTTGGATTTGACAGCCTTATGTCGGTTCTCTATATGTTGGTCTGCTTTTGCTAATCTTTTCTGGGCTTCTTTTGTGGAAAAGAGGGGATTCATTGATCACTTTGGAAGTAACCATTTTCTGTTTTTTGGCACAATATCCTTTGTTTTTAAATTAAGATTTCAAAAAACTGGGGTCTGATTCTTACTAGTTTGATTTATCTTCCTCTTTACAAGCTTTCATGAAGATTCAATAGTTTAGGTATGACAAGTAGTGAGTGAGATGTTGGAAACCAGTCCTAGTGATGCATATGAAGTGTAACAGGTTGTATCAGGGCCTGCAAAAGGGAGGCCTTAAAAGTGTGATAACGCAAAGTTTGAACTTTACGTGCTTACTGTTGGAGATAGTCTCTCCCCTCAGGTTCTTCAGCAGGTGCACAACTGTATCGAGAAAATAAAAGTTCTTAAGCTTTGAGAATGGAATTGCAACTCAGTCTATTCATCTTTAACTATTGATCTAAAGGTACCAGCTTGTTTAAGCTGTTGTGCACAAGGAGTTGGGATTTGAATGAAGATTACTCAATCCACATCTTCCAAAGGATATCTCCTCTATCGTGATTGGGAATTATTTATTGTTTCCTTTGTGGAAAAATGCAGAAAGCAATATTATTGTTTTTGGCGATGCAGTTCATTGGATTACTTGTTTTTTTTTATCTTCTTACATGGACAACATGATTGTTTCCTTGCTTTTCTGTCAGAGGGGCCAGACATTATTGTTTAGCTGATTCAAAGGAACACGCATGCACGCACGCACGCATGCACGCACACACGCACACACGCACACACACACACACACAGGGTTGTGTTTCTCTCTTCCTTTTCTTCTTCTCGGGAAGATTTCCCCCCTTTTTGTGTCTCATTTTGCAGGAAGAACCGCATTGTTCTTTCACCCTTTCAATCTCTCTGGAATCGTGGATCTCTCTCTCGCTCTCTCCTATTTTCCCAAATTTTTGGGTTTGTTTCTCTATCCTTTTTCTCTTTCGCATTTTTCAGGGAAGATTTCCCTGATTTTTTGTCTCTCTCATTTTGCAGGAAGAACCATGTTATTCTTTCTTCGTCTCCGTCAATCTTTTTGAAACTGTGGATCTAGTATGACATTCCTCTCTCTTGGTTGAGTTTAGTATTTTTATTTTTATTTTTTTGCCTTTTTAAAATTATACTATAAAATTTTCTAGACTTGTAGAGTAATCAAGGTTTACAGAGTTATTCCATGTTAGCTGTAAACCATGTCATGATTTTGTTAATGAAATTCTTCCCTTTATTGCTTTTTCCTGGATCTTTTCCATGGTGAATGGGTTTTGTTGCAGTTTGATTGAAATTGATATCTTTAAATAATATCTGAAAGCTTCAAAAGGATAACTTTGTGTTTCTCCCGAGCTTTGTCAATTGAATACTTATTCATATCTTTTTACAAGGTTTTTGTTGCTCTTTGATGATGGAAAATATTAGGTCTTGGAGAAACCCCGTTTTATCACAAGGAAAAGTTAGTTAAATGATTTTAATAGCTTTTTTGTTTAGTTTTTGTCAGGGTGCTTGGGTTTGAAGTTTGAGAATAAGAGCTGATATCTTTATGTGATCTCTAAAAGGATCACTGACTATGCGTTTTTTAATCAAATGCTTCTTTGCTTTATCTCTGTTTACTATTGCAATGAGTTTGGTTTCTGGTTTGATTGGCTCTGATATCTTTATGCATGCACTAGAACTGTATTGTACATGATCAATTTTTTCTTTTTTCCCCATGGTTTTTCATTTCTTGGATTTTCTCCATGTTTTTTGTCTTGATTATTATAGGTTTTTTTTGGTTGCTTGATTATGGAAACTGAGATGTTTAAGAATCTCAGATGTAGCTATCTACAAGGCAGTTAGTTCTTTTCCCATGTTACTTGCCATGATGATGAGGTATTTGTTAGCATTTGAAGTTTATATTTTGAAGCAACTTATAACAATGCTATATACACGTTCTTGAAGATAAGTAACCGAGAATTGAGATTGTGTGTCCATATCTAAATGTCTTGGACTTAATTGTTATTTCATATATTTAAGAGCTAGGAATTTCCAAGAAACCCTGACATTATCATCCACTTCCGGTGATTCATTGCTTCCTTCTCCTTTTACCCTGGTTTTAATGATGAGGTTTTATACATTTTCCATGGAAACACATACATTAAGTCTACCTCTGACTAACTGACCATGCTATGTATATGATCTTGAAGATTAGAATCAGGACATTGAGTGTTGGGGTATCCATGGTCATTTAGAGGCCATTTGCGCTGGTTCGTTTATTGTACCTTGGATAGTTTCTTATAGGAGTACTCATGCTTTGATTTAAAATTCCTGTTTGCAGTGGGAGTTGTGTTTGTTTGTCAGAGCGGATTATGATATGTCGTGTAGAGTGGGCTCAGTCAACAGTTTTATGTGATTTAGAGCAAGCTGGTAGAGTGTATTAGTGCACTTTTGGGAATCTCGCCTTGGTTTTGTAGTCTATCGCTGAGGCTTAGGTATCCGATCTGCACCACGAGACAGATTTGGGTGTGATCCCAGGAAGCATCAACCATAGTGGGTTCACTGATGCCCCATTGAGGCTAGTTGTTCTAGTGGGAGTTAAATGTTTATCGGCTGGTGGAATGATGTTTGCAAGACAACAGCCTTCACCTCAACACTTTCATTCTTCACAACATAGTTGCATGAGTTCCACATTGATCCTATATTGGTCGGAATCTTGGATTTGGAATGACGTGTATGTGCTGGAGAGAGACCTTTTGCTACTTGTTATGACACATGAGATAGGTAGGTAAAAGTCACCAATGGAATTAATCGATTAGATATGACTTGTCTGTGAAGGGGACATTTACAATCTGAGGTGAATTTGTGATCTTATCTACTTCTTGGCTGACTTTGATGGATCAATCGTGAGCACCTTGCACTGGTATATTTGTGAGCTATTTGATTTGTTGGGTTGGATTGCAGGTACGTAATAATTATGAGTAATTTAGGAGTGTCTATTTGAAAGGGTTTTTTTTTTTTTAAAAAAAACTCTTCTCAAGATTTGCTTAATCTTCCAATAAGATATTTCTTAGTTTCTTTGTCATGTTTTTGTTGGGAAAGAAAAATATGTCCCCTCAATCTTGTCTTATAGTTGTTTAATTAGAAAATGACATTTTTTGAAGAGATTGATTGTTCTAAAGAAGGAACTTTTTTGAAAATATTAATTTTATTTTTATTAACAATCACAGTCAAGGAGACACAAATTGTGTGAAGAAAATGGATTTTAATAATTGTTCAAATCCCCAAAATGTAGGGATCATTATCAGACTTTACATCATTTATAATGAAAATCACATTGCAAAAAAAGCAAGATATCCTAAATCGACGGCCTTATTTATTCTCATGGTCAAACATTCACAAACAATAAAGGAAAAACAAAAACTCCATTTAAGAACTACTCTTAAGCCTGCAAAGGTTCTTCCTAGCCTTGTTCATTTCGTCCCAGAGACGTCTAATCTCATCCTCTGCAGCCCGAATTTCGCCGCCCTCTCCTCCGTGTTCATGAAGTTGTATTGGCGATCAAGGTGGTCTTCAAGCAATTCATTAGACCTTATTTGGCCAAGGAAATACTCCCGAATGCTGGTAAGGCTTCTTGCTTGATTATTGGCAAAATCAAGAAAGTGGAGGATTTCCTCCATCTTCCAGTTGATGTGAAGCTGTGTCTTCCAAAGAAAGAAAAGAGGACATGGACTTCACAGAAGAAGAAGACAGAGACCTTAGAGAGGAAGAAGCCCAAGAAGAAGAACATTGCATGCAAATCGTACCAGCGCAAAATTTCCCCGTCAAGAAGTCGGAAGCCTGCAAGTCCGAATAACTAACTACGGTGGGATTCTCCTTTAAAGACATGGTTTCATGGCAGAAAATAGAAATAAGAGTGTAAAAAGGAGATTCAAGAATTAGAACTTTAAGGGATGAAGACTCAAATCCAGCATTGAGGCGCTCCAGAGAAGTTTCCCGGTCAAATGACTGGACATGAAGTGAAATAGGAAACTTTCCATCCTAGAAGACACCAGTGCCACACTTGTGGCGCAGTAGCCGCTGGATTTGCACCACAAATTGCAGCACGGTAAACAATTTTGTGCTGGAATGCTCAGAAAATTTATGTCGTGCTGACCGATGCAGGTCCAATTAGTTGTTGGAGAGTTTAAACATAACGATTTTCTCATATTCTCAAATTTTAAAAAATTCCCACCTTATTTTGTGATTTACTAAACGTTCACTTTTTCAACTTGCTAAAACCATCATATTTTGGTCCTATCTTGTTCAAATCATTCAAATTTTTGGGTGGGTGTGGTTTTGTATTAGGCCGAGGCCCCGAACCGTCAAAGTAAGGCGTGCCTTCGAATACTGGCGAAAGATGTCTCCATATTGGAAATTTTTGTGATGGCTTAGAAATTTATTTTTATCTTTAATTACAAAATTTAAAGCTTAAAAAATAATGTAGATTGATCAGATTTATGAATAATTAAAAATCTTGAAACCTGACCTTCCAAAATGCATTACAAGATGTACTATTCAAGATTTGAAATCCATTTGTTTTCCACGTATTGAGGTTGAGATGATGAATTTGAGGATTTTTAAGCATTGAAACTTTTGAGTTGCCCCTTAATTTGATGGTTTAAAACTTTTCCCTTCAAAAGAAGCAAATATTTTTAACAAATTATCAAGATATTCTCTTTATTTTCAATAAAAAAAGAGAAATAAGATTTCCTCCCCTAGAAGTTTCTAGAAGCCTTTTCTCTACACCATCTTCAAAAAAATACGTTCACTTTTACAACACAATTTTGAAAAAAAAAAAGATTCAAAATTCAAAATAATTTTCAAAGTTCCAAAAACTTGCTTCATGGGCCAAAATAAATCTAAAAAATAAATTTTTATTTTCAAGAATAAATTCCCAAAATTTTCATTTAATTCTTCATTATCCCATAAATCAAGAAATTTTCAAAATGATTTTCATACGCGTGAGCCTAAACCGCGTGACTATTCCACTTCATTTCATTCATTTGTCAAAGCTCTCGTTAACTTTTACCATTTAATTTCAAAATTTCATTCAAAGATCTTAGGTGCGCCATGGCCTAAACTGCCAACCAAACATTTTATGAAATTTATTTTATGAAATTTTGCAACCCATCGCAGTCATGCAAAAATTTCTTTTATCTTCATATTTTCCAAAATCATTTCAAGTTAACTCCATGCCTGAACGTTACTGTTATTCATTTTCACAAATTATTTCAGAAATCTGCTCTCGTATAGCTTTAAAGGTTGGGCGTCTCATTTCCAGTCCCGTAAGATATTAAAGGTTGGGTGTAACGTTTCAAGCGTGAAACTTTTAACTCCATAGGACGTAAAAAGTCGGGTGTAGTTTATTCATTTGTCTTCGATATGACACTAAATTTTATGCAATTGTTTTTGCAATTTTTTAATTGTTAATTTCTTAATTTCACTGTATTTAATTTCCATTTGTTGATTTTGTATTTCTTAATTGCTCATTTGTGATATATTGTCCTTAATTTCCTCTATCTTAATTTAATGTTTTTTTTTGTTAATTTTGTATCTTAATTACTCATTTTTGATATACTATTCTTAATTTCCATTATCTTAATTTCATGTTTTTTTGTTAGTTTTGTATTTCTTAATTATTCATTTTTGATATATTGTTCTCAATTTCCATTATCTTAATTTCATGTTTCTTGATTGATCATTCTTAATTTGTATGTTATAATCGCCATTTTCCTTATTTCTTATTTCTTAATCTTAACATGTCTTAATTTCCCCTCTATTAATTTCTCGTTTTTTTAATATTGTTACTTAATTTATAATTCTTAATTGTGTTTCTCTTAATTGCTTTTCAAAACTCCAAATGCTGAAGTAGTTATGGTTTGGAAAGATTTTAATTATATATTTGTGGTTTTTAAAAAACTTTAAGTTTTTTAGAACTTTAATGTTTTAATTGTGTTTGTGGTTTTTCTAAAAGTATTATGAAAATGGAAATGAATAGGAACCAAGTCTCGAAGTGATGACAACCCAACCCATGCTCCATAATCTTTTGATCCCGAAGAGAAAGCTGTCCAAGAACTTGGTGAACCCTTTGAACTTAAAATCCATTTCAACCCAAATCCTTAGATTTATTAGGAAATCCTACTCTTGCATTAGAAAAGCCAAAGGAGAAATGAACTCAAGGTAAAAGTCAAATTCATTTCCATTCAATATCATTTAGCTAGATGCAAAAAATCCTAGACAAGAGGCTGAGATAAGATGGGAATCAATGTGCCGATGAACCTGATGGGGTGATCACCATTAGTTCTAAGTCTTATTAAATTTCATTCATTTACTCTCAAGTACCTATTTCTTTGCTTCACACTTGTGCCTAGAAGGCCAAGGTGCTCCAGAGAGAGAGACAAATATGGAGAACCTAGTTTTAAATTGATCTTTTCCTTGAATTCCTAGATCCTAAGGTAGAAAATATGATCCGCAGACCATAGAAAACAACTTTAGAGTAACCCACTCCCATCCCTAGAGACCATACTAGCTTAGTACACAATAGACCATAGTGGACCATAGTTAGTTTAGGTTAATCCAGCCAAATATTCCCTAAATCCCATAAATCCAAAGCTTAGGAAATCCAATTGCTAAAAAAAAAAAAGCAGGTTTTACAGTGAATTGGTTGCAAAATATTTCAGAAACTGTACGTGATTTTTATTAGAAATAGCAAGTAAATATCATTAGAAATAGCAACTAAGCTTATCTAACTAGTTGATTGCGCCACAAAATACGGCACAGGAATGGGAAATCTAGCGCCACGAGGTGCAGTGCAGCCACATGTTAGCTCGGGAGTGGCTCAGATTAGCCGCCTTCTAATTTTTGACTACATTTTACATATAAATAGACCTCTTTTTTACCCTCTCATGATCGAATTGCCAAACAGCCCGACATCTAAAAGCCATTAGAAGATTTCAAACCCTAAAAACCTAATCCAGCATAAACCCTAATTTAGGAAACTTAATGAAATCTTTAGAGCGGAATGACGAAACATGATTCGTGCAGCCGGTTGCACCTTAAATAGTTGGGATAAGGTTCAAGTGATGATGCGGTTGCACCTTAAATAGTTGGGATAAAGCTCAAGTGATGATGATTTACGCAACCGACTTTAAATAATTGAGATAAGGTTCAGATGATGATGATGATTTTTTATTCGTAAGAAGTAATTTGATTGAAAACAAAACCTTTTTTTTTTTTGTGTTAAAAAAATAAACTAGGTATGACCACCCATCCTATGGATTTGGAACATATTTAGAGCACAAATAATTCTTTTATGACCTGAAAGGTGAGAACTTGGTGCCGCATAAAACCCCTAGGGCCCTTGCCAACGCTGCAGTATGGAGGCTGACCTAGAATCTTTTCCCACTAATGCAGTTGTACATCCCAAAATTTTAAATTCACTGATTGAAGGCTCATAACCCTTAAGGCCATAATGCTACCATGACAATATGGGCCATAGTATACTACACTCAAATGGAAAGAATGGAACCTTGCACCTAGTTTCATTTTTAGATGGCCCTTCAACAAATTATATGAATTTGAAATTTGGGACGTGCCATCATCTCGATAAGGCACACATTAAAAAAATATTAAAAAGAAATTTTTAATAAAATATAATGATTAAAATACCTTAAAATTTTTAAGGATATTTTGATCATTTTATTTTATTAAAAATATTTTTATATATATTTTTATAGGTGGGAGTTTAATAGAGGAGCGGATGTCTAAAATTTCGTGTCAAAATAATTTATAAATAAAAAATTAAAAATGAATAGTAGGGAGACGTAACATTATGATTGGATCATCTCAGCCGTCTATTTGGAATGGAAGTTTAGATAAGGGAAGTGTATAAGTTTTATGGCTTATGGAAGCATAAAAAGCTTGCGTGAACCATAGTATATTGGGTGCGAGATCATGGGCTCCAACACGTTGACACGTGGGTTCACCCCAATTCACCTGAATCCTACACACACTAGTGATTAGACAGTACTCTTACTTTTGATATGTCCCCATCTAAAGTGATCTCAGGGTCATATCCCAAAGGAGGGTGATTTCCTTATTAAGAAAAGAGAAGATGAATTTACAACACTAAAACAGTGGCTTTAATGAAAAGATGAGATCATCACAAGTTGGTACTTGTTAAATGCAAGATCTATACTGTACCAACTTTAACAATATTGTTAATCGATATACTTTTTCAATTATTTCATAGATTAAAGTTCATAGGTTTGGGTGCCAGTCCTGTTTTAATTACATAATTCATTACCATGGTTCCCCATCACGAGACAAGGATGGGGAGACCGGGGAGACAAACCCTTTGCCCTGTAGTGGCCTTTGAGGGGCACTAAGGAACCAAGCCATTGGCCAAGAAACCCTAATTTAAGAATAACATCTTTTTTAAAAGAGAGGAAAGTTGGAAAAATAAAGAGAAAGGGGGAAGGAAATAAAGTATGGGGCATTGAAAGCAACACCGAACCAAACCCATGGCTAGGAAACTGTAATCTAGTTTAGGTCATTATTCTGGATGGAAAAAGAGAGAGAAGCAAAAGATAGGAATGCTGCATTCATTATTCACTCACAATAAATATGCCACCTCGTTTGAAAAAAGTTGTAAAAAAAAAGAGAAAGGGGGAAGCTAATAAAGTATGGGGCGTTGAAAGCAACACTGAACCAAACCCATGGCTAGGAAAATCTAGATAATCTAGGGTAACTTATTATTATTCTACATCGAAAAAGAGAGAGAAACAAAAGACTGCAATGCATTATTCACTCGCAATAAATATGCCACCTCATTTGGAAGTGCAAGACAATGACCAATAAATATGTCATGCTTAGCTTCATTTTTAGAGAGATTTCATAAGAATTGTAATGCATTTTAAATATTAGAGAGAGATGGAAAGGCACCCAAAGTGAGAGAGAGAGAGAAAGAGGGGTAGGGAATGGTCATACCTACTTTGGTCGAGAGAGATTCATGAAGGGCCACCCAATTGGGATGAGAGAGAGAGAGCCACTCTTACTTGATTAGAGAGAGAGAGAGATGCACCATCCTCACTTGATTAGAGAGACAGAAGGGCCACTCCCACTTGTTTGTGTGTATGCGCGTGAGAGAGGGGCACTCTTTCTTGATTATGTGTGTGTGAGAGAGGGGCACTCTTTCTTGATTGTGTGTGTGTGTGAGAGAGGGGCACTCTTTCTTGATTGTGTGTGTGTGTGCGAGAGAGAAGGGCTCTCACTTATTGATGGGAGACAAAATTCCTCCAACTCCATTTCCTTATGAAAAGGAAGGTGGGACCCTTAAAACAACTATTTGCCACATACCATCCAAGCCAATCCTTTTCTTTGCCCCTACCTCTAATTGGAACAAGCATTGAAATTCAACAGTGAATGACAATTTGCCCATAAATCCAAACCACATTTGGAGGAAAGGGTAATAGTTAAACACTCACTGATGGAACAACCAAAGTGGTCCACTTATTCGAACACCTGCCCCTTAGGTTCGAAAAGTTTATATAGAGCTGAGGCTTTAAACAATCAAATTAGAGCCTATCTCAAATATTTCACTAGAAGACATTGTTTTGATTCCCAAATATCTTCAAATTGATCATCTCGACATCATGATGCACATACATTAGAAAAAAATAGATTTCAATTTTTGGAAATAGTGTATTTTGTGACGTATTTTTTGACCGTCAATTTTCAAGATTTTCATAGATCTGTCGATCTACACTATTTTTTAAGCTTTAAAATTTATAAATAAAGATGAAAATATATTTTAAAGCTATTACAAAGATTTCGAATATTAGAACCATATTTCTCGACACTATTTGAAGGTAGGCTCTAATTTGATTGTTTAGAACCTAGGCTCTATACAAACCGCACCCTTCTTGCTTTAATCTAAGATTTTTTTTTTTTAGCTTTTTCTTTATTTAATGTACAACTGCTAAGAGTTTTGTTTCACGATAATTTGATTAATTGTAGAAGTTGGTGGGTGAAATAGAGCAGATTGATTTCACAAATACTTTGAAGGAGTAATACATGGATAAATAAATTTTCTATTTTCAGGCATGAAAATTATGACATCACATGATATTATTTTTCCCTTACTAATATAAATTACAATATGCCAAATTTGCAATTTCTAGAGAGAGGCAATTCGAACGAGATAAAGGGTCTGAAAACTATATGCAAAATTGCGTACCTGATTATTTGAGCTCAGTTACATTACTTTTATTATTCTATTCTGCTCTATCAACGATCATACTCTTAGTAAGACCATAATCTATATATCTTTTCTCACTACTTTCATCTGTCCTTTTAGTCATTTTCTTGCCCTTTTAGAGCCTTCTTCTTGCCCTTTTAGAGCTTTCTATAGAACTAAATTGCACCTTCTAATCCGTGTTGTATTGGGCTTATGTTGCATGTGGCCAACCCACCTAAGTCTATTTTCCCTCATCTTATCTCATTATTGAAGCCACACCTAAGTTCTCTCGAATGTATTTGTTTCTTATCATGTCACTTATCCATCTCATCATCATCATCTCAGCTACACTCATCTTATGAGTATATTGTTTTTTGACCGTCCAACATGTCGTCCCATAAAACAAAGCTAGTATGACAAACTGTTCTATAGAATTTCCCTTTCAGATTCATTGGTATGTGGCAATCACAAAAAATTCCTGTTGTATATCTCCACTTCACCCACTCATCTTTAATCTTACATGAGACATCTTCCTCAATTTCTCTATTTTCTTGGATTATTGGTCCAAGATATAAGAAATAGTTTCTTTTATATATTTCTTTGCCATTGATCTTAACTACTTCTTCGTTTCTACTTCAATTATTGATAAACTTGTATTTCATATATTCTATCTCAGTTCGGTTAGTTTTAAAAGCTTTAGATTTTAGAGTATCCCTCCAAAGTTTTAACTTTATATTGACGTTGCTTCTAGTCTCATCGATCAAAATTATGTCATCTTCGAACAATATACACTATGGTATCTCATCTTGTAGGCGCTTAGTTAACTCGTTTATAATCAAAACAAAGAGATATAGGCTCAACGCTGACCCCTGATATGGGCCTATTGTCAATAAAAAGTCACTTATCTTTCCACTAGTTTTCCTCACACTAGTTAATACTTCCTCGTGCATATCTCTCATTCTTTTAATCTAGCCTCCGGAGACCACTTTTTTTTTCAACATCTATCAAATTAAATCTCTAGGTATCCTATTGTAGGCTTTCTCTAAATCAATAAAGACCAAGTGAATGTCTTTTTCTTCTCCCTAAATTTCCCAATCAGTTTTTTAATTAGGAAAACGGCCTAAATCATTGACCTTCCTGACATAAAATTGAATTGATTTTTTGATACACCTGTTTCATGTTTTAGTTGTTGTTCGATTACTCTCTCCTACAACTTCATAGTGTAGTTCATAACAATGAGTCCATATATAGAGAAAAAAAGTGTCTTTTCACCTTCACCCAAAATCCATCTATTTAATGCACTTGAAAAACCGAAGAGTTCCAACTCTTGTTTGTCAATTTCAATAGTCAAAAAAGGGGTTCATCATTTACAAATGGGAAAAGTTTATATAGAGCTGAGGCTCTAAACAATCAAATTTGAGCTTACCTCAAAACTTTCACCAGTAGAGGTTGTTTCGATGCCCAAATATCTTCAAATTAATCATCTCGATATCAAGATGTATGGATATGAGAAAAAAATGCACTGCATGTTTTGAAAATATTATATTTTGTAACGCATTTTTGGACCATCAATTTTCAAGATTTTCAAGTTTTCATAGATATGTGGATCTACACTATTTTGTAAGCTTTAAATTTATAAATAAATATGAAAATATATTTGAAAGCTATCACAAGGACTTTTAATATTGAAACCATATTTCTTGATACTATTTGAAGGTAAGCTCTAATTTGATTGTTTAGCGCCTAGGCTCTATACAAAAGGCACCCTTTACAAATTCGTATGAAACTGAATATTCAATAGTAGTGACATTGTTTCTTGGCGACTTTTCGGATTCCAAATGGTGATCAATTGTACATGTGATTTGCTATTTGTCCGCCTAAACAAGCAATGTAGAGGCTCAGACGACAAACAACTAAAAAAAGACACTCTTCGAACAAGCGAGTGTGTAAAAACTATGACGAGCCATGAGCACACATGGTTAAGAGAGGTGAAAATGTACCTCAAGCCCCTTAACCTAAACAAGTGCAAGCCTTCCTCTCATCTTGCTTCTCCGGACATATTAAAAGAGCGTATCTTCATATTTAAGCATTATTGGTATCTTCATATCTAACCATTATTTTTTCTTCTTCATTCTCCAACGGAGGACTACAAATCCAATACTTCCTCATGCATACAATGTTAAATTTTCTAAAAGTTAAAATTTTTTAAACGACTTTATTTTAAAATATGGAAAAGTTTATATAGAGCCAAGGATCAAATTAGAGTCTACCTCAAAAATTTCACTAGAAGAGGTTGTTTTGATGTCTAAATATCTTCAAGTTGATCATCTTGATATGAAAATACATGGACATGAGAAATAAAAAGGATTTCAAGTTTTAGAAGCAGTATATTTTATAACACATTTTTGGACCGTATATTTTCGAGTTTTCATAGATTTGTCGATCTATGCTATTTTTGAAGGTTTAAACTTCATAAATAAAGCTGAAAATATATTCTAAGGCTATCATAAAGATTTCCAGTATTGAAACCACATTTCTCGACACTATTCGAAGGTAGGCTCTAATTTGATTGTTTAGAGCCTAGGCTCCATATAAACCGCACATTTTAAAATAACCCCTAATATTTATGGGAAACAAAAATTATAAGTAGTTCAAATAGTCATTTTCAAAAGAAAATATAATGCTATTTGAAAATGCGAGACTTATGACTTTTTAGATCAATTTGATAAAATACAAGCAATAATTAAAGACTAATTATAAATGTAAATTAGTTTAGAAACATATACAAATATACTATTTACTTTTGGTACAAGAAGGTCACAATCGCTCTTATCCACTAGATTTCAAATTGGATCATTGAAAGAGTGTTATTAACTTAACTCAAAAATTTTTTAAAAAATTCTTGACTCTTGTAACAGGCCTAAATCATCTAATTTACATCTTGGTCGGGAGTAATTCGACTCGGTAACTTTGTATAAATGGTGGCATGGTATACAATTCCAATTAATGTTCCATAAAGCTTCTCACGAATCTAGGTTCTAAGGAAGTCAAATGCAAGAGGATAGGGGTCCTTGAATTTTTTGAATGAAGGGCATTTTAGAGAGGAGAGAGAGTTTATTTACGAATTTTAGTCCCATGAATTCACTTGGTTTCCATAGTCAATAGAAGGGGGAGAGAGTTGACTGATCCAGGTCTTCCATGATTTCACCTGGTTTCCATGGTCATTGGAAACAAACAGTGAAACACAGCTTCACCTGGTTTCCATGGTTGTTGGAAGCAAACAGTGAAACACAGCGGCAGTCACTCACCAATTACGACGATGAGAGAGAGAGAGACTGCACTTTCCTCTGTTTCACAAAAACTTTCCCTGTGAACCAAAACAAAAAAGCATCCCTCCTTTCCTTTTTTTCCATCCCTCCAAAACCCAAGAAAAAGAAAAAAAAACGGATAAAAGAGAGGTCATTAACTCTGCAATTCTCATATTTATAACGGGCAAAAGCAGTACATGGGTCGTTTTTTTCGATATGAACCTCAGGTAGGTACCCCAGATTACATAACCCCTCGTAGATAGAGAGAGAAAGAGGGGTAGATAGAGAAAGATGAATAGTGAGAGAGAGAGGGGTTTGATTATATGTAACAGATGCCTAGGCAGCAGCAACTGTTTCGCCATTGCTCGAAGCTTCAGCTGCAGAAGATGGAGCTTCATTTTTCATGGAGGAGAGAGCGCATTTCTCCTTTCTCTCGTCAATGTTCATTTGTTGTTGCCTACACTCTAAACTACAAAAGGCACTATCACCCCTGCAAAAAATACCAAGACATCAACAATCAAAAGCCTGAAAGTATTGTTTATTTAGTTATTTATAATATCATAGAAATCTACTGAAAGTAGAAAAATGAAATGGTATTTTAAGGATCTGTACTAAAAAAACCCAGAGCAATTTGTCATCGAAAAGTTGCAACGTTTACCAGCTTAAACTCTCTCTCATTTGTCAAAAAAAAAAAATCTCTCTATCTCTCTCTCTGGGCAGAACAGTGATTTAGCAAAACCCAAATCAATTTCTGAACTCTCTCTCTCTCTCTCTGCCGACGAGACAAGAATTAGTACAAACCAAACTACAATTACTTGTACGTCTCTCTCTCTCTCTCTCTGAGGAACCAAACAACCAACTCTCTCTCTCTCTCTCTCTCTCTCTAACAAAGTATCACATGTGAACCTTCTGAATCCAATCCAGTTTTCATTGGAAAAAAAAAAACCAAAAAAAAGTAACCTTTTATGACAAACGCCACACACATAAAGACCCTAAACTCAGAGTCCAAAACCCTAAGTCTTAAACTATGATACAAAGCTATAAAGTTGTAAATTTTCAACTCCCAATCTCAACAATAACCAGATAAAAACCAATCAACAAAAAATCATAATTTTGAAACAACAAAGTATTCAAAGAGAATAGGGAAGAGAAATTACCTGTACATGTATATGTCTCTTCCAGGTCCCAATCTACGTTTACAAAGTGTACAACACTGCAAGAAATGGGCCGTCTCGATAAAATTACCCGAAAATCTACGGTGGTTCCTAGGTGAAGCGATCGCCGGATAGCGTGCACCCTCAAATAGCTCCGGCACATGAATCGGACCGTCCGCATCGCTCGGAGGAACCTCCGAGCCAATATCAACCGTAAATTCGGTCATGCTCGTCGTTCTTTTTACCGGACGAGGCCTCTTTCCGAGCAACATATCCCGAGAAAACAAAAAACCACAAAACCCTTACTAACGCAAGGAAAAAATAGAACTTCAAAAAAACGTCATTAGCCTTAGCCTTAGCCTTCGGCCGGAAAATCAAATTACCGGGGAGAAAAACGTTTCCGGCGAGATTTTCAGTGGCGAAGAGGGGAAGGGTCTCGGAGCCAGGGTATGAAGAGGCCTTGATAAACAGAAGGGGAGGAATCTAGTAGTCAAATCTGGGCCGTTGGATTATGGGTCCCATTACACGTCAGATTAATCTCTTTTCTCGAGGCAAATTCATCACTCCCACCACTTGGGGTCCGTACAGGTGGCAGCACACATGCGACCGGTTGGGCCGGTTATTGGAGGGCGTCAAAGCAGGTGTCGAGTTGCTTGCATAATTGGGTGTCAATTATTGAGGGACCCACTCAAAATTAAAAGGGTCTAAAATATTTAAAGTGACGGTGACGCATTGGTTGGACGCATGACGTCAGCCCTAGCATGTGAGTGGGGGCAGCGCGAACGAGCTACCGTCTCTCCCGGTTTTCCAAATCTATGATTAGTTATTTATGATGGGATTTCACGTAAGGTTGCGACCTTATATTGTAGAAATAAAGAGCACCACAAAACATGGTAGAAAAGAGCGTTCTGGAGGTTAGAAAGCCTTCTAATTGATCAATTCACCCTCGAGATATATAAGCATTAAAAAAAAAAAAAATTATAAGTTTAACAATAGTGTATCTTGCAACAAATTATTTGAATAGTCTATTTTCAATTGTTTACCGATATGTTCAATATATATCATTTTCTTTAAATTTTCAATTTTATAACTAGGGTCCAATATAGATTTTCAAGCTATGGTAAGGTTTCTGATACCAAGACTGCATCTCCAGACAAAATTGAGAAGTGTACCCTATTTCTATAGTCTCAGGAGGCAAATCTATGAAAATTTAACCAGCTAAAGTTTGCATAAAGTGGTATTATATAATAGAACTCCTCCAAATCGTACCCGAAGGTGTATTTTCATTATTGGAAACCGATAGCTTGAAAATGCATGTTTAGCTCTAATAGCAGAATCTATAATTTCAAAGGTCGTGTAGATCCAATAGATCAACAAATACTTAGAAAATCTTTGAAATAGATGTCCCGATAACCTATTATAATGTGCATTAATTTTAAATTTTTTTTTTTAATATTCATATATCTCGAGAACAAGATGATCAATTAGAAGGTTTTCTGATTTCAAGACACTATTTTTTTACGTGATTGTTGAGGCGCACATTACTTGTATCGTATAGAGTTTTGCAATTTTATATAAAATGTCCTTTCTTATTAAGGCTTTAGTTTTTGACCCGCGCTTAAAAAGAAAAAGTTCATATAAAGCATCAACTTTTTATCATTAAAGTGCACATCAAAATTCCTCTAGAAGAGAGTATTTTGATGTTGGAAAACTCTCCAATTAATCATCTCAACATCGAAATATATAAATATAGAGAAAAAACTGTCATAATGCATCTTGTAACAGATTATCCGAGTAGTCTATTTTTAATATTATCAAGTGTTTATAGATCTACTTGATCTATACCATTTTTGAAACTCTAAATTTTATAACCAGGGATATAGATATATTTTCGAGCCTCAAAAGATTTTCGATACCAAAGCTACATCTCCAAACAAAAATTAGAGGTGTGCCTTACTTTTACAATATAAAGAGGGTGCGTGCTCCTGGGCAATGGAGGATTTTAGTTTATAGCATATTGGTCAGGGTGGCGGGTGCTACAACCGCGTCTTGAGTTCTACTCCTATCATAGGCAGATGACCCTTTCTCGGCTCATCTACCCAAACACAACAGAAAAGAAAACGGAGGGCACTTTTTATAAACCTCACCTTATTAAAACTAAAATAATGATTTGATTTTCAAATCTAAAATTATTATTTGATTTTTTTAGAGACCGAATCCCACAAGGAGAACCACACCGATTTGCCAATCCGATCGCCCCGTTTTTGAAACACTCGTGGTACTAAGGAATAGGAGTTCAAATGCATCACTTAGTAATGAAAAAAAAAAAAAGTAGTTGGATTCTCTTCCTTGGAAATTCAAGTCAGAATCATCGATTCAGAGCATATAACTAATAAAGAAAAAAATTGGGAGAATTGAGGTGATGTCGGGGTTCTTCAAACAAAAATCACCCACCTCTTGATCTCGATCTGACTTCGATTTACATTTTTTTACTTGTTTGGGTTATTGAAATTTAAGGGCATGAAAAGCAAAATAAATACCGTTCTTCTCACTATACAAGTAAGAAGGGAAAAAAAAAGAAAAACAAAAGAAAAGAGAAAAATGAAAAAAAAAAAAAGAAAGAATGAAAAAAAGAGATGCTAAATCATGCGTCACCCCCAAGTCCCAACAACCAACCAGTTTGTAGCTTTTAATGCTTTTTTTTATCTTTTAATGTTGTTTTCCTTTTTCCTGTACCTTCTCTGTAAAATGAGAGGTAGAGTGAGAAACCACTATAAGGAAATGATTGGAATTTGTTTTATTTCTAGAGAAAGCCTAAACTGCCCTCCATTTGTAATAAGAGTGGGGTTTGCATAGAGCTGAGGCTCTAAACGATCAAATTAGAGGCTATATTTAAAGGTTGTGGTTTGTATAGAGCCTAAGCTCTAAACAATCGAATTAGAGCCGCACCTTCAAATAGTGTCGAGAAATATGATTTCAATGCTAAAAATCTTTGTGATAGACTTAAAATATATTTTTATCTTTATTTATAAAATTTAAAGCTTAAAAAATAGTGCAGATCGACATATCTATGAAAACTTGAAAATCTTGAAAATTGACGATCGAAAAATTCATTACAAAATACACTATTTCCAAAGCTTGAAATCCATTTTTTTCTCATCTCCATACTTCTTGATGTCGAGCCGATCAATTTGAGGCATCAAAACAACCTCTTCCATTGAGATTTTTGAGGTAGGCTCTAATTTGATTGATTAAAACCTCGGCTCTATTTAAGCTTTTTCCATATTTAAATGGTTTCAATACTGAAAATATTTGTGATAGCCTTAAAATATATTTTTATATTTAATTATAAAATTTAAAGCTTAAAAAAGACGGTAGATCGAACAGATCTATGACAACTTCAAAATCTTAAAAATTGACGGTCCAAAAACACGTTGCAAGATGCACTATTTCCAAAACTTGAAATCCATTTTTTCTTTCTAATGTACGTGCATCTTGATGATCAATTTAAAGATATTTGAGGATCAAAACAACCTCTATTAATGAAATTTTTGAGGGGGGCTTAAATTTGAGTGTTTAGAGCGTGGGCTGTATATAAAGAGAGGGTGAGGGTCTGTGACGGAGGGAAGCAGAGTGGCAAAGGCATTAAAATAGCAAGAATAGGTGATTCTCAGAGATATGTGGAAGATACAGTATGACCTCGAATAAAATAAAGTGCAAGGGCATAATGGTCATATCTAAATGTTATTGCCTCTTTCTCTCTCACTCATATCTAGACCTTAAAATGCCCTCTCCTTCTCTCTCTCCACTAACAAATTCCTTGTGTGTTTTGAGTGGGCAGGCATGGAATCTGTGAGAAAAGTGGGGAGAGAGAGAGAGTGGGACATAGAATCTGTGGGCATGAGAGAGAGTGAGAGCCAATGGCGTGGAGCTTTCTGGGCTAGAGAGAGAGAGAGAGAGAGAGAGAGCCAATGGCGTGTAGCTTTTCTGTGTGGTTATTCGATTAGAGAGAGAAGTAAGAAGCCATACAATGTGGCGTTGGAGATTCGATTCATTTCATTTCGCATTGTTTTTTGTTCCCCACCATGGTGAGGCATAAAGGTGCGCCTCTAAAATCTTATTCACATGACTTAGGTGATAACAATAGCCTACTAACATTTCACCTCACTTCATTTCGGGGTGGTCCAGACCCGGGATCAGATTGGTAGATCCGATTTTCTAAATTTTTGACTTAAAAAAGTTAGGTCGAGATCTAAAACCTAGATATGAATACTATTCGGGTTCGAGTCCGGGTCTAGCCAAGCCTGACCCATTGCCGCCCCTAATTTCATTTTCATTTCGCCCCTTATAAGTTTCATATGTCGTTGTGATAACAGTATCGACAATACTAATAGTGAAATTTCATTTCATTCGGTTTGGGTTTTATATCGATAATGAAAGTAGTAATAACCGAGGGTTCAAGTTTCAGTGCCGTGTCCCCTGTGCTTTGTGTTGGGAACGGGGACTCCTCTCCAATCCAGCTCATATACTGCGTGATGAGAGGGACCAATCAAAAAAACAAGAGCAATTTGGACTTCTCCAAAAATTTGGGACCATTTTTGGTAGATATTAAAAAATTTATGATACCCATCCCGAGAAGAGACTATAATAATCATAAATGATGATTAAAACTTTAATGTCCAAGTTCGTGCGAGCCTTTGTTTTTTAAATGTCTGATTGATTAGGAAAAATTTATTTACACGTGTATCGCCATATACAGAATTGGAAGTTGACTACTAAGTCTTGGAAAAAATTCTCCTCCTTTCCCAAATAGTATGGTAAAGAGCAGTTTTTTTTCTTATAGAAAAAAACGTGGCTGAAGGAGATTTGTTACTCCCTAAGAATATCTCTAATCTAATTTCATCTCGAGTTAATACCAATTAGAATCCTAGTGACCTCGCTTTACGGTGGGGAATCATGTTTTAAAACTCAATTATGCAAACAAAGTATCCCTAAATCAATCTGATATTATGGAAAGAGCAACTCGGACTTGTAGTGACATTGCAGTGATTAAAGGAAATGCAACTAGGACAGATATACTCAACATTATCATGAAACTAGGACAGATACCATGAGCTTGAAGGGTATTTGATTATTGAAAAAGTAAGGGTTACCACAAACACATGCGTGTGCCTGAATAAATGGCCTGATAATATTTCCATGAAGCCAGGAAAATACACCATATGCAAGCATGTGCATCCGCGCAAGCATGAGAGAGATTATTTTTTTATTTTGCTTTGCTGCCCAAATATTTACACGCCCTACTAAGGGAATCCTATTATGGGGAGAGAGATGTTCGTCGTCGTTGTCAAAGTTTTTTTTAATTAATTGGAGTTGGCTACAATAATCATGTGATGCTACTCTACTCTATTAAGGGTCATACTTTTAATGAGGTTATAAATTTTCATATATTTTTTCACTATTTTCAAAAATGTCCTGGGCCTATCTTTTACACTCCTTTAGCCTTTTACTTGAATTAACTCACACTACCTAATAGGTGTTATACTGGATTTACGCCACACATGGCGATACCATTTAAGTCTACTCTATATCATCTTATTGCCTATTGCTACTACACTTAAATTTTTTCGAATGTATTTATTTTGAATTCTATCCTTTTTTATCTTATCACTCATCCATATCAACATTCTCATCTCCGCTACACTCATTATATGGATATATTGTTTTTTGACTGCCCAACATTCTGCCACATAGAGCAAAACTGATCTTTCAACTATCCTATAGAACTTGACCCTTAGCTTCATTGGCATGTGGCGATCGCGTAAACTTCATGTTGCACATCTCCAATTCACCCACTGAACTCTAAATCTATGTACAAAATCTTCCTCAATCTCTCAATTTTCCTGTGTTATAGACCAAAGACATCGAAAGTTCGCTCTTTTTGGTATTTTTTGACCGTTAATCTTAACTACTTCCTCGCTTCTGCTCCTATCATTACTAAACTTGCATTTCATATACTATGTCTTAATCTGACTAATTTTAAAACTTTTAGATTCTAAAGAGATATTACTTGACAACAAAGACTTCGTTTTTTGTTTACTGCCCAATTATTTATAAGACGGAATCACCCAAACGAAAAGTGTTTACAAGCCCCCAATAATGGTATCAAGAGAGAGAGAAAAAGAGAGATGCAAAGCTCGTGATTGATTATGTTCACCACCCAAGTATTTAGAAGCCCCCACCAATGGAATCTGGCTGCAGAAACGACTTTATCATCAACAGAAAGGCTGAGTGAAAATCATTCCCATCTCATAATTATTATATTGAGCCCAATTGTACCTTAACTTTTTCTTCAAGGGGAACATTGTACTTCCCAATGAAATAAATAACATTGTAATTTCTGGAGATAGAGTAGACACTATGAGTAACCTCCATACCCTTTCATAAAATCAAGGGTTCCTCTCAAAACAAACCAACAAACACAGCCCAAATTCAAGACACCATATATTATGGCCAAAAAAACTCACTTGTGTTTTCTTTACAAGTGAGAGAGAGAGAGAGAGAGAGAGAGAGAGTTCAGCTCAAGCACTAGAACACCAT